AGGGCGCACTCACGTCCTCTGACAATTCGGTAGGTTTGGATGAGGTCACCGCGGAGTGGCCTGTTATTAAGAGGAAATAAATCAAGTTCACTCAATCTCTCTTCATAAGGCAGATGACTGAGACTCTTGACCATCTTCGTAGCCCTCGCCTGCACTCGTTCCAGCTGCAGATAATCCTTCTTGAACCACGTACGCCAGGCCTGCACGGCATACTCCAAGTGGGACCAAACACACACTCCGTACGTTTTTCTGAAGAGTTCCTTGTCGATGTGGAAGAATTCCCGTCTAATCGCAAATAGCACATGTGTCGCACGTTTAGCTGTGTAATTATGTTGGAGAAATCGGCCGACAAATCAGAACGCGATGCATGAGCAAAAGCTGGCTGTAGGGCCTGAAGTTTGGACCCAAAGTCGGAGGTAGCGACCGATGGTAAAGAGATGGGACATGACTTCAACTTTGATGCAGTTGAACTTGTGGGCCGAAGTGATGATCACGCATCAAGGCATACTAAAGAAACCTGGATTTCGACCGAGTATTCAGTAAATCGCCACAAAAAATGAACCTGGTCACTTTTGTTGTCTTGAGAGCCTTCTTATTCGGGGAACTGTCACGGCATGGTACAATCGGGGTCGACAAAAAGTTCTACGGCCAAAGTATATATACCTGAAATAAGCCGAGGCGCGACTGGGGCCGACGGGACGAACACACATAAGGCCAACAAAAACACAAGCGGCGCGGTGACAGACAGGATAAACGAGGAGGTCGAAGGCAAGACGCGAGACACACACAGTGATTCCCATGGAATTTGCAGAACATGGGTACAGAAGAGAGAGAAGCATAAAGAAGAGGACATCGAGCCAGAGAGTTCATTCTCTGCAGGTGGTTAGACGACACAACTACCCGAAACGTCAGACTTACAAGTAAGCACTTGCGGTGAAGGCTCCGCTTTGTTCTGAATTACCGCCTGGAAATCAAACTGTTAGAACCATAACTATAGAATATTTGCAGGAGCGTCAGGCAGCATTGACAATCGCTTTGAATATATATATGTATATAAACAGCAATATCTGGGGTTACAACCTCTTAGATTGAGTATGGCTGGCTGATGACGGCCAACAAGCCAGAAATGGCCATTCCAATGTCCCTTTGCTTGGTCGCATCCATTTCACTTAGCAGCAATCTTTTTGTCACCACTTAAAGTACTCCCTTCCCTACAGTTGCTAACCTCATTTTGACCGTACTCATATTTCTCCGTAAATATAAATTGCAAGGGATATTTTGAAAAATCCTGTCCGATAAAACATGTAGGTCCGACCTTAAAAAAAACCAGATTACAATGCTTCACTTTGCTTTGCTTTTTACAATTAAAATGGACATAAGTGATCGCATCCAATGAAATTAGAGAAACAGGGTACTCTCAATTTTGTTTACACAGTTGAAGAAGTCACCTGAAGGCGTGCCTTTTCATCCTATTCCAATAAGCCCTTCATCACATTTTGTTGTTAAGACTTACATACAGAACACAGCTGACCATTGTTCTTTTAAGAATTCCTATTTAAGTCGAGCTAACTATAGGGTGAGGCTTTGCAAAATGGAGCCGGCTATGGTTCCGACAGCCAGGTAAGTATTCCTTTTGGTCTTACCACACTTATAAGGGAGCTTAAAGGCGCGGTGTTAATAGCACTTGACAGTGATGACAGTGGTACTGTAAGTGCGGACGAACTGTATACAATTTTGTTGCCTCATATGGAATCATTGCGAAAAGAAGATTTGCAGACTGAAGTGAAAAACGTGGACAAGAACGGAAGTGGCGACCTTGATCTATGTGACCTTGAAGGTGTCCTTGAAATGCTACGGGTAAATATTTACCTGCAAGAACCTGAAAAAAAGGTGAAAACTCTTGATTGAGTTTGTACGCGAGTTGCAGCCTATAAAGAGCCATGGATTATTATAAATTTCAATATTTTGATACCAGTTTCGTCTTCTAATCTTGGTTTTCGTACAATCAAGTGGATCTTGTACTAAGAGGGCTTAAACGTACTTGACATTTCTGGCAGCGGCAGTGTTAGTGTCGATGGCGGATATACGGCTTTTTTGCCTAAATTTTTCGAAATTGACAATAGAGCACATCTAGAGTATAATAAAGAACCATGACAAGGATAAGAGTTGACACGTTTTTGCCGTCAGCTGATGTTTTAAATGTCCTGTCAGGCTTATACTGTACGAGAACATCAACAAACGGGTGTTTATTGTCACTTTCCTCTTCGAGCATCATCGTACGATTAATAGGGTTCTAAAATGTTTCTAGTCCGTCCCTTCTAAGGATGACGAACGTACTATCACCATAGCGTAACCAGCATTTGGGTTTAGCTAGTGGTGGCGTTGTCGTTTCCGATTTTTTGTATTGTGACTTCATCTACGAAGCCCGAGGTGGATTACCACATGGAGGTTCCCGTTTGCTGGAAATAGTATTGGCATTTGAGTGAAAGGTTATTTTCCAGATCTAAAAGCATACATTTTTAGATTCCAGGCTTCTTGTTCTACCTCAGGCGAGGGTCCGGCATCGCAGCCAATCGGGATCCACAGGAAGCTCATGCTAGGCAGGGGGCGTAGGTCAGACATCCCTTTTCCAAGGCATTGCTCTTGAGATATCTCTGAGTCGTAGGGGAAGTTATCATGCCTTTCTCATATTTCAGTCGAATCCCATGAAGTCATATATCCCTCATACGAGTTGGCCCTTCATTCCACGCGGCCTGCAATGTCATTTAGGCCATTCAGGAAGTCAAGTTAGGCGAAGAAACGTTTTCGATTATTCATCATCATGCAAGGAGAGAGAAGAGGTAACAAAAGTCTGAGCAACCACTCAGTAGTAATAAGGGGGGCGAGCGGTGTTAAGGGATTAAAAATCCATATTGTAGTCATAAGTAGGGACTGGAGAGAGAGGGGAGAGGGGCCTGGCAAGAAATTCACGTCGCCCATTCGTCCCTGTTTCGTGTCTTGTTCGGAGGTGTCAGGACGCATGGTGCCACGGGCTTCGGCCATGGGAGCTTCAGTACCTTTACAAACGCCTTCTGAGGAAAAAATTGTGTTATTTAACCGCATAGCAGCTGCTGTCGCTGATGAAATGAATTCCTGCCCAACAACTTCTACTTAAACACTTCGGGTAGCGGATTCTGCGTCGGTGGCATTGATGCGCAGGGTCTGACCTAAACATGATAGGACGACAGACTTTTAAGTCGTGTTTGATGCCGGCTGTTAAACAAGCTAATTTGCGATCGCCTTCACGGCCTAGACACTGTAAACAAATGACTGCATTGGTAGTAGGAATTTTCGCTTATTGATCTTCAATTTCTTGGTAAATATATTAAACGTATTTTGTAAAGAGCATGCGTTAAAATATTCTTTTTGTAGTCTTCTCAGTAGCAATTTACGTCACCGTCCAAGTTACTACTTGCACAGAAGGTATTTTTCGGTTTTGAAGGCATCTTTAATGCTCCAATAATTTCGGATCTGAATTGCTGTTCAATGTGAATTAAGGTTTTCGGAACTAACAGGTGAGTATTTGTTGAGAAGCGAAAACTATACCCTTCTAGAACTGATTACAGCACACTTATTCTGCACACGAACATACTATCGTTTAGTAAAGATTGCAAGTGCTGGTTGCGCGTATGCCGAAACATGACGGACGCCTGAGCTAGTGCCTATGAATTTAACAGAATCCTTAAATAGTATTGGCTTATCGATTATGCATAAGCAATCCACACTGAAGTGGTACTCAGTTGAGCACTTTGGCGAAATGTACATTCGATAGGAAGAATCCGCGAGTGCTCCACAAATGCCATATTCAGCTATGTGAAATCATGCGTGCGTTTGATCTCATGATTTGTTTAGCTTTAAAGGCAGCCGACCATAACCACCTGATAAAGAACGCATCAGAATATATTAGCACAGCTTGTGAGACCAAATTAAGGTTAAATTTGAGGGCGAAAAGCAGATCATGTGATATTTGCCGCAGTTAAGGCCGTATATGACGTAAAATGCGAACACTTATGAAGGAGTTTGCATCGTTTGCAAACCGTTATTAACGAACGAAGGCAACGTGGAATCAAAGATGACCAACCTTACGCGAATCTAAAACTTAAAACTTAGAACATTTGTTGTGGGCGGAGGTGGAGAGAGGGCCCCAAGATACGGGGGAAGGGGCCCAGCGTGTCCTGCAACCGACCGGTGTGGGTCTATCTTCCACTGAGAAATATCAAATGAAAGTAAATGTCAGGTGAAATCATGAGCATTCTGTTTGCCTATATGCAAACAAGTTTCCTTTCGACAAATGTCTTTATAGATATTTCTTGTATTGGATCGCAGTGCGTTTTAGGGCATTCTTGAAAGTTTGGGATAAAATTCACTATTTTTCGTCTTTTTAAGACTTTTCCATAAATTTGCATTCCGTTATAAATGTTTTTTTGCAAAGTTAAAAATACGAAATGCTTTAAAAGCTGTTAACTAAAACAGTATTTTAGTGATATTAGGTCATATTTTAGATTCATGCAAACATTAAAAATTATTGCCGAGAAAAGCGAAGGTCAACAACAATAGTCCATAATTAATGTGCTAAAGATCAATTGAAAAACTTTCTGTTATGAGTTACGTCTTTAAAATGCGCTTTATTTATATATTTTGCCAAGGTAAAAATGAGGAACATCGGTTTATTTTTGATTTTACCGAAGTACAGTTATATAATTTCGGCTGGAAGTGAAGTGGCTCACTTTGTCTTTACATTGAAGAGCCTTTCACTATATATATATGCACTTTTAGGCCTTGTGCTCAGATTACAAATTCACCTAAGAGTGACCGAGGACATATAACGATTACGCAAAAACTGATACTCCACGGCGCGTTCCGTTTCTAATTTGCGCACTTTTGGAAACTATGTTTTGCTACATGCATAAAAGTTAACAAGATGGTATTCAGTGTCCATCCACACGAGTAAATATAAGCTACTTTTGCTGCGGTCCCAAATCTTCAGGGCACTTAACAAAATACGGTCAGACAAATTTATTACTGTTCTTTGTGACATAAAACTTCAGAAACTGGGAAAAATATTTGTTTAAACTGCATTTGATCCATGTTACCGGAAAACGGCGATTTTACCCGATATTTAATAACATAAGATAGGATATTAAGATGCCATAAGGGCTTTATTAAAAAGGTCTGATCATACTGTAGTTATTTTAAAGCATGAAGATAAAAGGTTTGGTTCTGCTTTACCTTGGATATCCGGCGGTGTTGGATATAAAGTAACAGTTAATTAAATTGCAGCGTTACGGATGAGCCTATAGTCAGTGCTAGAGTAGAAACTCGGCGATATTTTTTCATTTCAGAATTTGAGTCAATATCACCTCTACTGCAGGAAGGGGGTGGGGAAATATAAGCAATTCCGACTAACACAAGTGCGGATAATTCTGCAGTAATCTTTCCGTTGAAGTAGGACTTAACTTTCCTTACGTTATTCTCCAGAAGAATAATTTTATTCCACCATCAGGTTTACTTTGCCGAAACAAATGACTACAGCAGCCA